TTCTGAACCCTAGGCATATTGCTTGTAGACTAAGTGTCTCTCCTGGTTCCTTAGAACAGGGTGACTTTGAGTCGTTTAATTAGTTCCTTAGAACTAAGTGGCTTTTAGCCTTAGCTCTATTTAGTTCTCTAGAACTAAGAGGCTTCCAGCCTAAAGTCTTCCTCTGGCTAAAGAGCTGTGCAGCTCCGCTACACTTGCTGCTGTTAGTAATTTGAGCGGTATGCTCTGGGATTGGTTGGTGATGCCCCAGGGGCTATCGAATGCTCCGGCTACGTTTAACCGTTTGGTGACGCAACTGTTTCGACCCCATTGAAGTTATGCACAGACGTACTTTGATGACATTTTTGTCCATAGTCGAGCTGAAAATGGGCGGTCAGATATTGATAACCATATAGTTCATTTACGAGCTGTGCTCGAGTGCATGCGCACTAATAAGCTATATGCTAATGCATCTAAGTGCATCTTCGGGGCCGAAGAAATTCCCTTTCTAGGGTGCTTCATTGGAAAACGGGGCCTAAAAGCGTATCCCGCCAAGGTCAAAGCCATAGTCGATTGGCCTGTTCCACAGTCTCAGAAGGACTTGCCTAAATGGCTTGGCCTTGCCAATTACTTACACAAGTACAGCGAGAATTACGCTGATATGGCTCGGCTATTATCCAATTTCCTTAAAAAGGATGTGGAATGGTGTTGGCAGGCCGAACATGAGGATGCTTTTCAAGCGGTGAAGGCGAGCCTTCTACATGCTCCTATTTTGGCTTTGCCAGACCCTGATCGACCGTTAAGTGTCGTCTGTGACGCATCGTATTTTGCCATTGGCAGTGCTCTGTTACAATCAGATGATGAAGGCCGTGAGCGTGTAATCGCTTTTGAATCTCGCCAGCTGAAAGCTGCAGAAAAGAACTATCCGGCTCATGACAAAGAGCTACTTGCGATGAAGTATGCTCTGGTCAAATTCAGAGTTCATCTGCTGGGCTCGAAGCCTTTTGTGATCCATCCCGATCATGCGTCTTTACGCACTGCAATTCAGTCGCCTCATCTCTCGCAGAGAATGGCCAGATGGCTGTCATGCTTTGCCGAATATAACTTCGAGGTGAAATATAAGCCTGGCAAACAAAACGCTTTGGCTGATGCGTTGTCCCGCAGACCTGACTATGAGCTTGCTCATGTTACGACGTTGTCGTCTTCTATCACAGATCTCATTCGTACGGCGTATTCTAAAGAAGATCATTGTATAGCGTCGCTACATGCTCTTGGTAGTGATGAGTTCAAAAGACTCGGACATTAAATTGTCGGCACGATTACGTGCGAGCCTCCATCGATATTCAATCGACCAGAGGCTGTTTTACTATTGTACGGATGTGGCGGATCCTTCGCGCATTGTAGCTTCTCATGATGATGATCTGAAGTATCGTACCCTCTATGAGATACATGACACCGCCATCGGGGGTCATCTGGATCGTGAAAAGAAGTACGGTGCAGTATGCCAAAGTTATTGGTGGTCCAAATTATATAAATGGGTGAGCACGTATGTACGTACGTTTGAAACTTGCCAACGGGTAAAACCCTCGCCCCATTCGGCAGCGCCGCTGGCTAGTTTGCCTATTCCCACTGTGTGCTGGGAGTTCATTAGTATGGACTTTGTGTTTGGTCTACCGAAAGATTCGCATGGCAATACAGGTATTGTGGTCTTCGTTGACCGCTTAAACAAGATGGCTCACTTAGCGGCTGTGCCAGACTCGATCGATGGTGAAGGTAAAGCGGAACTGTTTATCGATCAAGTGTTTCGCTAACATGGCTTGCCAGTGGCAATTGTTTCTGGCCGTGATCCTCGTTTCACGAGTAAATTTTGAAAATCCGTCTTCCAGGTGCTTGGCACCCGATTGGACATGTCCCAAGCGGATCATCCGCAGACCGATGGTCAACCAAGACGAGTAAATCGCGTTGTTGAAGATATCCTCCGCAGCATTTATGCTGAAACTCCTAAGCGTTGGAGTTCTATGCTCCCTGTTATTGAGTTTGCACTCAATAACTCCGTGCACGCCTCTACTGGCTACAATCCGTTCTATGTGAATGGTCTCACACACCCACTCGTTCCGTTGAAGCTAACACCAAGTGGTTCAGGTCTTGGTGGAGGAGAAGTTGCCGATCGGCTTGCTGATGTCAGCCCTAGTACTGTTAAGAAACAGGTAAATGCGTTTTTCGCAATGCGACTACATGTCTTACGACATGTGCAAGATGCAATGGCTGATAGTCAAGATAAACAAAAAGAATATGCAGATGCTAAAGGCAGAAGCTGTATTAATGATTATGAGGTCGGAGACCAAGTCTTACTTAATGCTAAAAACCTACCTACCAATGTAGTGTCTGCTATCTTTAAGACAAAGTTGCGTCCGCGCTTCATCGTACCCTTTACGGTAGTGGCCAAGAAAGTCACAGCGTATACGCTTAATTTTCCGCGCAAATTGCGTACACATCACGTGTTCTATGTCGGCATGCTGAAACCATATCGGGATCCGTTCCAAGTGAACACTAAGGCGCTCGCCCCGAGCTCATCGGCATTGCCGCGGGACGGATCATCTGCACCAAAAGGTCAAGCTGACCCTCCACTCGGGTTCGGCTCTCCTCCAGCGATTTAAGGCGGGATTTCATCGACTGCACAGTCTCACAGAGATACTGCACCTCTTGAGAAGTAGCTCGGCATGAGCTTGTTCTGGTACACCAGCCCCCTCCGGCATTGCTTGATGGACAGGGTAACCTTTAGTTTCATGTGGAAAGTCTACTGCAGAAACGTCGCCGCCACGGCCAAAACCAGTATCTGGTGAAGTGGCGGGGATATTCCGAGTCGTGGAACTCATGGGAGCTCGAGGTTCCCTTTCGGCAGGATTGCCCATACGCCGTGGACATGTTTGAACGCCTTGTGCAGGACCAACCTATTGGCGATGACACTTCTCACCAGTAGTGGTGGGGGTAGTCGAGTAATCGGCCTCAGCCTTTCGTGAACTCGCGGCTACAAGTGTAGCCGAAACGTTGGAGTGCTGGGTAGGAGACGCATATTGCGTTTGTTGAGACTTTAACTTTCCTCGGTCCTTCAATTTAGCGTAATCGTAACGCATTTTCCGTTCGAGTCGAACATCTGCCACATCGGCACTTGCCCGTAGGGCCCACATGCTACTTAAACGTCTCGCATAATGCGCCCAGCGGCTAAAATCCGTATCCTCTTCCTCCTCGGTTTCTCCCGCGAATAGAAGGATGGGAATACCCTTTATGAGAGGAACTGGTACACCGCGCACTTGCCTAGTGAGGCGTGACAAGTATTGGCTTTGTGTAGTATTGTGGGGTTCCAGATAGCGTTGTCGAAGAGCCGTTCGCGTAGCTTCATCCTCGGGCGAAATGGCCTCAGGCCCAATGGCCCAGCCAGAGAAGGAATGTCCAGATGCCTCCTTAAGGCGTTTTCCACTGTAGTTGGTTTGAACTTATATTGTCGGTGGCCCTGAAGCCTTGTCATATTCTTTTTCCGGCGCTTAGCACCTTCCCCTTCGTCGATGTTCTGTTGCTGTTGCTCGTCGAGTGGGATAGTAATTGTCGCTGTTGACGATACGTCAGGCGGGTCACGTAACGCTGTTAGCGCATCTGCAACACCGCGTTCAGGGAACGGATTCGGTGCATGACTAGTGTCATCTTCACCCGTGAGGGTGGATAAAGGGGACCCATCGGGTCCCACAAAGACGGTGTCACTTTCGTAATCAACCGCTTCGTCAAGGTTGCCTTCAATGAGGTCCCGTAGAGTCTGTGACTCATTGCCAGGAGGCGTCATGTTGTGTGCCGTGAACAAACCGTAAGGTTTAAACGTTCGCTAAAGTACTACCTTAAAAGAGGAAAGATGTCGAGTGACATTCTATGGGAACGTCAGTCAGGTGGGGAGAGTGTAACGGGGTTACACGACGGTTGTAACATCATTCCGAGAGTTTACGGTTGAAGTTTTTCTTTATTGCATTAATGTATTCTTGATACTTCTTTTAGCGAGGTATTAAGTATGAGCGTTAAGATACGTTATTCGGTAATACCGTATCTTATCGATTGGGATTCGATAAACCACTAACGCTGTATTAAGTACATCATACACAGATGTTTAGACGATACGTCGTCCAATAGCAAAGTCTGCATATAATAATTACTATTATAGTAATTAATCTAGTGTAGTGCACTTAGAGTAGGACTATTTATAAAAAATTTAAAACATAAATAAAATCAGTTCTCATTTTGAGTTTAAGATCGCAAGTCGTTCTGACATGTTCTCTTGTGCACTTCGTGCGTTGGTTCTCTGAACCTCTAAGCTTCTACCTTGTTCTTGCACTCTGTGCGTTGGTTTTCTGAACCCTAGGCATATTGCTTGTAGACTAAGTGTCTCTCCTGGTTCCTTAGAACAGGGTGACTTTGAGTCGTTTAATTAGTTCCTTAGAACTAAGTGGCTTTTAGCCTTAGCTCTATTTAGTTCTCTAGAACTAAGAGGCTTTCAGCCTAAAGTCTTCCTCTGGCTAAAGAGCTGTGCAGCTCCGCTACACTGTTGCACTGATAATGATCACTTTTGCGATCGGTAAGACACTGAGGAGGCCGCGGCGGCGGCCGAAACGCGTCTGGCATGCGTCTGTAAATATAGTCTTTTTGTCATGCGTTTTTTTAATTTCTACAATAGCGGCCTTGGCGGGCGTGTCAATGGCTACTACGGAAGCGACTCGGCGTCAGCTCGTTGCAAGACGAAATACTCAATGTTCAAAACACAGCAAATACCATGTAATTGATTATTCTCTTTATCCTGTTAAAAATTGGATACCAGTTACACAGTTATAACTACTGTACCATTACGATCAAATTATTCAGATAAAAGTTACCAGTTGATAATCAGACGCATCATTTTGTTAGCCAATCAAATACGCGAAACAAATTCACGATAAGGTTTCTTAAGTTCATTTTTGTCTTATTGGGATAATCTAATGGCAGACATGACCTCTACTGTTGCAAACGCTGTAGCTATTGCCTGGACGCGATGGCAACGCTACCACCAACTGCATCATAAACGAGAGGATTTGAGTGTTGCAGAGATGGAAGTACAGTTTGAACTGGTCGCTATAGGTCTCGCATTAGCCGATGAACAGGTTCAAGAGCTTTTTAGAGATGACGCAGAGCCATTTTTAGCATTATTGACGCCATTGCCAACTTTTGAAGACAAGTTTGAAAATGTGAAGCAATTTCACTTTACGTTTGTATCAGCTGCAATGTTATTGGATCAATATTTGCAGCTTTCTAATGAATTAGAAGAGAAAAAAGTTCATGTTGTAACTGGTCCAGTGATGTATCAAGTACTATTGCCTATTCTGCAGCTTCAATGTTTCTCTTCGCTGCATTATGCGGCGTTAAGAATGTTCCAGATGGTGGTATCGTTTACTGCTAAGAATGAGCAAAGCCAGGAGACGCTTACGCAGCTTTTTAATCGAGTACAAGAGCTGCTAACTGGACAAAACGACAAGTCTACTACTTGTTATGACTCTTTGTGCAGAGTATTTAAGTTTTTACTGCCTCAGAAGCTGGAAAAAGTGGTGAGCAGTGCTATGGAGATTTGTAAACACGCCACGAAAAAGTGGCGACAGCAGCCGCAGCTTCTGCGAGCGGTAGCGCTGCATATTGTCCCAGAACTGGTGGAACTTGAGAGTGACATGGCAGCAACAAAGGCGAGATGTCTGTGTTTGCTAAACATGGTTGTGGACGTTTGGATGCCGTGCTCGAGTGACGATACCTCTGTCAATGAATTGCTGTATCTGGTGTGCATCATCATACCGAAAGCTCCGCGTGAACTCATTGCTAATTCGACGCTGCAAACACTTGTGTGCTTTGCGTTAGGACACAAGGACGCTTTGTTGCGAAAGCAAGGGCTCCATATATTGAAGATAGCCTTTTCGTATTGTGCGTTGCTGTCCGGATCGCAAAAGCGAGGAGCACGACACGACTTGTGGCTGGATAGGTGGCAAAACTTCCTCACAGCGTCAGAAGTGATCCAGATGCATCACGAGCAACACCTAATTGAACAGGTTTGGCCGCAGGTTGCAGTTCTGTTGTCACACTGCTTGGTCATTCGAGATGGCTTAAAGCAGCAGCAACAGGATCGTGAACAGTGGCCGGTGCAGCTAACTTTTGACTGGATGCAGAGTCTGTTTGTTCGTTTATTTTCACATGACAACCCTGTCGTAAAGCGTCTCTTAATCTCGAACTTTATGGAGACCTGCATTGAAGCTTGGCAAAAGTGGGATGAACACGACAGTGCTAGCACCGACGTTGATCGCGAAGCTTCCTTTGCTTGTTCCCCTGCTTTTCAGCGTTTCGTATTCGACTTTTTGCTTCGCGCCTGCAATGACCCGGCGCTTTTCAAGCACACGCATCGCGCTGGTGTCCAGGCTGTGCTGACTAGATTTCTGGTGTCCTTCCTTGCTTTCAAGTTTGCAAACAGCGACCAGGAGCGCGTGTTAGATGAATTTGTTGTTGCGATTAAAGAAGCGATTTTTGGTGAAGACACAAACAGTCACTCGCCGGATGCTCTATTAAGCATGCTGCAAATATTCCAATCCCCTTGTCTGAAGCGTGCTGCCTCATTCGCGTCTTCAAAGGATCTGCTAAGTGAGACAGCAGTAGACCAGCTGCGATTTTTGCTTGACGTTTATGCGATGCAGTCTTTTTCGCAAGCGATGCGAACGAAGATGCTTCGTGCACTGAGTCACGCTCTTACCGGAGGCTTCGTTAGCGCGTCGACACTTTCACTGTCGGCATTAGCACGTGTCCATTGTGTCTTCCCCATCAGTAGCTTGGTAGCCGATGCCGGAGAGGTAATGTTGCAACTGTTAGCGTGGATGAAAATCCCCACTGCTGTGGGCAAACCGTCCATCTTATCAGCAACTCTGGCGTCTGCAATTCAGACATACATATTATCCCAAGTGGAAGCGAACCCAGAGGGAGTTCTGCTCAGTCCAACTCAACTGGCGAGACTGCTGCTTTTTACAGCAGAAGTCACACACGGAGATTCGAAGACTCACTATATAGACGAAAAACTAGGACATCAGGGAAATGTGAAAGTCTTGTTGCGGGCTCCACTGAGTGCATTGCTGCCCAAAAGGTTGGAACCTGAGCTGAACAGTACCCTACTCGTGCTTCTTGCTGCCAAGTTCGAAGAGCAAGTTCAGGAACTTCTGGATCGTTGTGCCTCATTGCCATCGAAAGGCTTCACGTTTTTGTTTCAACGCGAAGACTTCTATTCCGGACAAGTCTCATACTTTTTTGATATGGCCATGAATGTAGTCCGGCTCTGGTTGGACAAGGTGTCGCCGGAAGCTGATGAATCGGGATCTGGATACCACGAAAAGAATGATGCTATAGAACTCGTGGAATCCGCTACGTTTCTTCTGTCACAACTGAGTACACACAAAATGAACACTACCGGCGAGCTGAACGAAATGTCTGCACTGGATACGCTTTGTAACGAGCTTAGTCAAATCCTGGCAGCGGCTGCGAATCGAAAAGTATTTGACTTGGCATTAGCAGCAAGGTGTTTGTCCATCATCGGATCTAACGCTACTGTTGTAGACTCTCTGCGTGCATTCGAAAGTGGACGGATTCTCCCACTTCTACTTGCGCTTGACACGAGTCGGCGTTACAGTGGAAAGCTTGATGCAAAATGTGCCATTAGCTTAGCTACCAACAAGTGGGTTCTGCTCTATGATGTCATGAAATCATCGACGTTTGTTGACACAAAGTTCTTGCAAACTACCTACGGTGCATGTGTTGAGGCACTCCCTACGGCGGGGATGGATCCTCTAGCTTTGATTCAAATGGTAAACGTTTTGTCGCTTACGCTCTCACAACTGGCCAGCCCGGTATCAAACTGCAAAAATGGCATCGACCAAGTAAACAGTTTGCTCGAGGAGGTCTGGATGGCTTACATTGATAGTAAAGCTAAACCTGACGTGCTTACCCGAGCTGTTGTTAACTGTGTGTTTCAGCCGGTGTTTCTCCTTCATGATGAGCTAAGAGGCACAATGAAGCACTGGATCGCAGAGTATATTCACTTCGGCACCCGACACAGACCTAATGTGATATATCACCTGGCTTGCCGCTTGTGCCAGACTTGGCGTGCACACCCAGCATCTGCTTTATCTTTTGCAGATGAACTTGTCGAACTGCTACTCTACAAGGAACCAGTTATTGACGAAAGGGAGCAGCTAACGACGGATACTAGCCACTCGGTCCAGGGATTCCAAGGCTCTTTTCCAACTAGCAACAGTCACGTCCAGATGGCGATAATTGTAAACCATGCCAAGGACCGATTCGTGCGTCTGGTGGTGCTAAGTTTCCTGGGTGATGTGGCTGTCGAGGGTAGCGCCATTTCTACGAAAACGCAGGACCTTATGGATGCGGTATTCACTCGACTCGTCAAACTCAACGTAACTCCTGAATGGCAGAAGCAGCACATGCTAAACAGCGATGGGTTTGGTAAGAAATTGCGGTCATGGCAAGCGCTCTGTGTCGTCGGCGCTCATGTTACGAAATCGCAGTTGGCCACCCTTCTTCCTATACTCAGGACTGCATTTGCAGTGCCGCAACTGCCCAGTGTTCGGTACTACATGGAGCTTTTCGGCATGCGGCTGGCGACGAAGTATTCACGCGAGATATGTTCAGGCATTTTGCTTCCGATGCTGCGTGATCCGAATTTGATGCCACAGGTGGGTGCTTCGGTGCTGCTTGTGTCCGCTTATCTCGCTAACTGCAAGCTAAATGAAAAAAATAATGATGTCGACTGTGGAGAGCTGCTGGAAACGATGTTACCGTGGCTAAACACGTCGCATGGGTACACGCGTGTTCTGGCCCAATATTTGCTGGCCACGATCCTTCCTCGCCATATCCACCAGCTTCAACAGAGTTGTAGCAATACGCCAGGCCTTCGCTTTCTGGAAGGCACCGCACGTTATCTGAGCAACAACAAGGAGAGCAAACGAATGCTGCGTCGACAAGCACGTAAATTGGAGGAGTTACATCCTGACTACGAAAGCTCGTTGCTTGGAATGCTCTGTTCGGGATTCATAAGCGAGTTTGGAGAGCTCTTGCCTCGTGACGAGGCCCTTTGTTTTAGTGAGCAGCTTAAAACTGCGATGAATGAGCTCTACGCTCAGTACCAACTCGAGAACTTCACCCCAGCTCCATCACGAGAAAACACCTCGTCCTCTGCGATTGAAACTGAAAACGGAGCTCTCACAGTGCAACGTAAAGTTGATACAACGACGCTGCTCAGCGAGCTGCCTGCTGCAATGCAAGCTACTTTTGATGCAGCGCGGCGGGGTGACACACTCAACGCCCGCCAACGCCCGCGACAGCCCATTATCGTGTGTGCAAGCTTGGTTGACAAGATTCCAAACCTGGCAGGACTGGCAAGAACATGCGAGATCTTTAACGCTCAAAAGCTGATCGTGCCCAATCTGCGTATGACAGAGCAGGACGTCACGTTTGCGACAGTAAGCGCCACGGCTCATAAGTGGATGCCACTGGAAGAAGTTCGACCGCAAGGTGAAGATCTGCGCCAGGCGCTGCTTTGCTGGAAGAGTGAAGGGTATACCATCGTGGCAGTCGAACAAACAGATTCCAGTGTAAGTCTCGCAAACTATACGCTACCGCGCAAGATGGTGCTTGTCTTGGGTCGAGAGAAGGAAGGGATCCCCGTGGATGTGCTGCAGTTCGTTGACGTATGCGTTGAGATCCCGCAGTTCGGTTTGGTGCGCTCACTCAATGTGCATGTGAGTGGAGCGCTAGTGTTGTGGGAGTATACGCAGCAGCAACTCATGTCTGGAGCTCTCGAATCGACACTCTGCTAGATCTAAAGATGATTTACCTGAGCGAATCGACTAATGCAGCGACGAACGCTATGCAAGAGAAGCATTTGCACCCGAGTGAGAACATTATCAAACAGGCAGTAGCTGGCTTTAGTCAGGACCAGGATCGTCGGCCATCTCATGCACGGGATCAGTCACTTTTCCAGCTTCTCCTCAACAAGAAATGACCAAATTTGCATTCATCCTCGTCGTCGTCGCTGATTGATCCGAGGATAAGCTCAAGTACGTCGTTGATCTAACCCAATATAATGCTCATCGAGATGGCACGTACACACATGCTTTTCCGCTAGATGAACCGATCAATTCCATCTAAAGCAGGTGATATAACAACCGTTCAGCCGTCACTGGCGGCAGAGACTCTAGTGTCCACGACTATAAACAGACGTTGAATCTGTTTCGAAAGCGTCTCATGTGAATCAGTAGGAACCATGGAATCCATCTGCTGTCTCTCTGCCTCCTACTCCCCCCCTCCTCCTCCTCCTCCTTCTTCTTTCCAGCACCATCAAAACAAACGCCCTTACTTCCAGACCCATACATTTTTTCTATGATTGACGACAACATCATGACGTCCGTATTGGATGATCAAGGCGGCGTCGTTTCAGTCGTCACCTCTGTCTCGTCCACAATAACACCTTGTTTATCTTCATTTAAGTATCTCAACCACGCAGCAATGAAGGCATTGCCTACTACTCATAACGTACTCGCTTTCTTGCACACGATCTATGGGTTGTGTCAGCAGATGCGAGATCGTCCTCGAGTGTGTTTCCAAGCACACGCTCGACTTTATCAAACGTTTGTCACGATCAGCAATACCGTGAAAGAACAAGAATCTTCTTCTATACCTGTGACTCGACATCTTCAGCACTTTATGATCGTGTTACATCAGTTGAAAGCGATCCTCGATCAACACTTGAAACGTCGTAATCTCGTGGCAAAAGTGACCGCCAGTCGTCGTCTGTTATCAGCTTTAGCACGAATTCATTCCAATGTAAATGGACTTTTACGTGAGACGTCAGTGACAAGTGCGACCAGTGCATTGCTCGAGTGGAAACAACAATTTGCAGTCAATCGATTTCAAGATGAAAAAGCTCTTCATGAGACGCTAATGGCGTTACTTTCGACTCCGACGTTTGTGAATAAGGAATTGCCAAGTGAACGATGTCAAGCGTTGGTGTTGCTGGAATTGGTGGCCGAATTTGCATCAAATGAGTCGCTACGAGGACACTCGTCTCAGCTTTTAGAGACACTCAAGATGACGCATCGACGGATTTCTAATTTGTGTGATCTGCATCTTCGACGAGTGCCAAGGTGGTTCTTGCCAGGATGTGAAGTGGATTATTCACCTTCTGATCATACCATTGGGTGCTCAAGAGGATCCTTTGGATCGACACTGCAACGTGGTGAAGCCTATCGATACAGCTACAAGAGTCAAGGAGCTCTTTCTAGTACTACCTCTACAGTAGCTGTCAAGTGTCTGTGGGCATTGCCCGATGTCCAATATCACTTTGTCGAACAGCTCTTTGCACGAAGTGGAGTGTATAATTGGACGCGTGTTCGACATCCGAATGTCGTGACTGTACGAGGAGCTTCACATGTTGCTAGTCCACCTTATCTCGTGAGAGACTTTACAACTTATGGTGGACTTACGTCTTACCTTGCAGCGCTGGAGACACGAGCTAAGGAATGTGCAGGACCGGAATGTATTGGGAGAGTAGAGACACTGACATGGCAATTACTTTATGGAGCAAGTCGTGGTCTGCTACATCTCCATGAACAACAGAGCATCGTTCACGGCGGATTACGCTGCAACAATATTCTAGTTGATAAAAAAGGTCGAGCGGTGATCGCTGACTTTGGACTGTACACGCTGGCATGTAACGCTCGGGATTCGGGATTGACGGAATACTTTCACTTGGACGTTTTTGACGCAGACGCTGAGGAACTGATTCGATGGCAAGCCCCTGAGTGCCTACGAGAGCACGTGGTATACCGCGAGTCACTTCGGACTCTGTCTGATTCCGAATCGGAACTGGTCTCAAGCGGTGCCAGTGCATCCGCCACTTCATTTTCTACCGACGTGTACGCTTTTGGAATGTGCATTCTCGAGGCTTTGACTCGCACAGTGCCCTGGGCAGGGCTTGATATTGCGAAGATTCGCACACTGAAAGAGAATTTGAGCTTGCTACCACCTCGACCAAGGTGCATTTCATCTCAGGGATGGACACTGATTGAGAAGATGTGTGCAGCCGATCCGAAAAAGCGTCTTACTCTAAGGGAGGCATCACAGGAGCTGAAGCGACTTGGATACTGGAATCGGGAATCAAATCATTCACGAAACGCCAGCTGTAAAGACTCAGACACATCGAGAGCTGACGCCACAGCAAAAGGGGAGTGCGTCTCAAGCGCACTGGGTGAAGTATCACCAAAACATATTGATGAAAGCCGATCGCGCGATAGTAGCGTGGCGGACTTAAAGGCGGTGGACGTTGCCAAAGCTGGTCATGTCTCCACATCACTGGACGAAGTTTTACGAGAACATAGGAATATATCGGATCGGTGTCAAGACAAGAGTGCTTTAGATCTAAACGAGCTTGAAGAGCAGGCGACACAGAAACTGACTGGTGTGTCAAGCGTTTGTGTGAATAATGCGTCCCAAGAGCTGAAGCGACTGGGAGTGGGTGAAAAGGTGACAAGTGAATCACGAGACAGCAGCGCTCTAAACCTAGTGACAGTGACCAAAGATGCATTTGCTCGGTTGACCCCACTATCCAGTGATGGCTCTGGCACTTTAACTGCTGAACCAAGCCAAGAAACACTATCATCGGAACCCGATAAGGGGCAAAACGAGTTATTTATGTCATCTAAGGCTACATCTGGCTACCTACCGCCCATCATAGTCGACACAGTGGATCAGCTGATCGCTAGTACGGCGGACAAGCAGATCTGTAAGCATTCTGCTCATTCTTCGGCCCTAAGCGATGCATCAACGGTGGAGCTGACCGGTCGTCCGATCAAGAATTATGTCTCGCCGCGCAAACGTTTGCATTTTAATCGACCCAAAGCAAGCAGTGGGGTTGCTGTGGGTAGCTCATTGGAAAAAGAACCTAGCAAAATCGTGCACTTTTACGGACAAGAAGGAAAGGCAAAAGTACCTCATTGTCGAGAAGTAGTGCATTCGTTGCACGGCGCACTTCTTCAAGCAGCCGATGACAGTGATACGACAAATGACAAACAGGATCGAAGTGACTGCAGACCGATTATCATGGATAATAATGCTGAGATAACTTCTGTTACTGATGTCATTAGAAACTGGATCACGTCCGAGCAACCCGAGCAAGAACTGGATAGTGATACCGGGAGCGTCAAAAGCCTTGTTTCCGATGAGGAATATCCAATGCTGTCGAGCAGTGCCGAAGAGGATGTACACTTGGAAGAACTGGCCACTGGCGATAGTTTAGAGGATGAAGAAGCGCTAATGATTGTTCCTGCCGAGTTTCAGACAGCTCGCAGCTTTGACGAGGATGATTCTGCGTCACCACTTCACCCAATGATTGGTCTTCTTGACATCCTTCGGACAGAGCATCCTGAGGAAGCTCTTCTTGTTGAAACATTAGAAGCTATGAAGGAAGGTCTTGAGCTGTCGACTGCTTGGATGATTGTGGAGCGCGAGGGATTCCTTACATTTATGAAGCTCGTTTGGATAGACTACTCTGAAGCTTGCACGATTCATGCATTGGAGATATTGCAGTCTATTGCTGACCTAAGCTCTGATTTCGTGACAGCTCTAGTAGAGTCCAAACTCGTGAAGATCCTGCTTGCTGTTGTTAAACACAGATCATCTCCTTTGCAAGTCGATTTGGCAGCATCGTTTCTGCTTGAAATCATCGCTGAAAATGACGAGGCAAAGATACAGCTATGGAACTGCCGCGGTGTCGGTGTGATGGAAGATAGCGTCGTCATCAACCGGCGACTTGTCCAGGAAGTAAAGTCCACGATGGCAAAGTTCAAGCGAAATGAAGGATTAAAGTGTCTTGAGAATGGTGAATGTCATTTAGCAATCGACAAATTCACTGAAGCGATTGCTTTGGATCGCAAGCGAGCAGGGTACTACGGCGACCGGAGGTATGTAGCAATTTGCAATAAGTGTTTGTACGACTGGTGGAGGATTTATTCCAATGTATTTCTTTCGCTCTGTTGAAACAGTTTGGCGTATATGGAAGCATCGATGTACAAAAAAGCAGCGGACGACGCCTACCGCTGCATGCGGTACAACCCGTACGATGTGACGGGATATTTACGTCATGGGTTGGCACTCAAGGCGTTAGGGAAGTACAAAGAGGCGATACAATCGTTGCGTAAAGGTACAGAGGTTGACCCCAAGTTCGTGAAAATTCGCGATACACTCATTGCGACCGACAAGCTTTACAAGGCACGACTGAAAGGAGGGTCTAGTGCCACCATGTTGCGCCACATGACGGCTACTGAATCTGCAAAACTCAAGAAGAAGGATGGTGACGATGCACTTCGAAAGAAGGATTACGCCCTTGCAGTCGAGTGCTACTCGGAAGCTCTCGAGCTTGACCCGAAGAACGACTGGGTGTATTTGCATCGAAGTATTGCGCACACCGCTCGTAGGAACTACACCAACGCGATCGAAGATGCATCCAAGTGCATCCGGATCAACTATCGACAAGTTGAAGGTTACTACCGGCTCGCATTGGCGTTGTATGCAGCTAATCAGCATGACCAGGCGCTAAATACACTCTATCGTGGCCAGGAAGTGGATCCGCGGCACGCGGGTATCACTCGCTTTATCAACCAACTTGAAGTAGAGGAAGCAAAGAAAGCAGGGCTGCCAGTATCCGAGTGGTTCAAGGAAAAGGGGTATCGGGCATTCCAGTTGCGCTCGTATGAAGATGCCATCCAGTTTTACACGAAAGCAATTGACGCTTCCCAGTCCGATGATGATGAGGTTGTCATGCACTGCTATTTGTATCGATCTCGCGCCAACCAGACACGAGGCGAGTTCTTAGCTGTGATTGCTGATTGCACGTACGTACTGGAGCGCTGTCCGAAGAATGTCTGTGCTCGACTGCGACGAGCAGATGCGTACGAGCAACAACGTGATTTACTTTTGGCTCTCAAAGATATTCGCGAGCTGGTGACTCTCAATCCGGAGTACGAAGATGCCCACGCTCGACTTGAATCTCTCGAACATCGATGTCGTCTTTTGCCCGGTGCATCCGAACGCAAGAATTTCGAGATCGATTCGATGAGGTGATCTTAAGGTACGAAACGAGTACGTATGGATATGTGCTGCATGTTTGAGCAGTATGGCACGTTGACAATGGACGATACACTATGGAGAAGCCTATAACAGTAAGGAAGAAATGCTTGGAATTGAGTCTACAGCTCTAACAAAGGCAGCATTCCGTCAAAAAAACCGACCTTTAGTGCAAGATTCTTTCCTTCTCATCTTGACTTTTGGCTGTTAAGCCTTCGACACGTTACACGCTCCTTCTCTATTGTATTCATCACGTCATAGAGACGCCTCCAGCGGGGGGGGGGGGTTAGAATGTCAATTGACTTATTATCACAATTACTCCATTGTGACGTCATTCATTGCCTTGGGTTCCGGAATAAGGACACCGCCCTTGGCCCAGTTTGAACGCTGAACATCATCAATATTCATAAAGATGCGGTCTACAGGAATCTGAAGTTCTTTGCTCACAATCTCCGTCAATGCCGATGCTGTCTACAAAATAATCCAGATCATTCATTTTATATCGTTTGCATAAAATCCCCCTTCAATACTTTTGCATATGGACAATATAACTCCATACCGTCGGATTAAAGTCCATGTCCACCTTTCCAATGCTTCTAACGTGAATCATGGCACATGGCTACATTCTATCAATAAAATAATAATAATAATAATTGGAATTCAATAAATGGATCCATTGAAACAGCCCACACATAACTTACAGCGTCCGTAGCTTGAAAATACATGAATGTATCCAACTCCAAATGAACCATAACGACTTGTTCGGACTTGTCAAGTGCATGGGCCAGTGTTTTAGAGATTGTAGCCATGACGTTTACCTCTTCGATCCCATTGGAAGATACATTGCTTGTTACCTGAACGTACGGCATCGTGGAGTGGTTTGTGGCCATGTAGTTTAAAGTACCGGTTTTATACCGACGGAAGCCCTACGGTTTTACAACCAGTATTACCGATCTCTACCGCAAAGGGTTTTCACCAGTATATAAACCGGTATCGTCTGTATCCCTGCCCTCAATGTGAAACTTACCACTTGTTTTCACTATACTTCATTTTCCATACTACTAAACACTTGGAGGGTCAACGAACTCGATTGACCATCACTCTTGTCGAGCATGGCGGAAGAAGTAGCTCGCTCGCGACAGTATGCGTATCAACAGAATTCCAACCTCGTACTACAGGCCGACAGTGAATCAAGACGACGACCTGATGAACCCACGGGTGAAGTGGAATCTCTGGCTGGGAAGATCACGTATCGCATGGGCGACAGGGCGCAGAAGGCAACACCACAGAACAGCCACAAACGTCATGGAGAGAGGGACAGAGACGAGCCACATACCAGGCCAAAGAAAAAGAACAGACGGGGTGACGGCGACGACGTCACTACGGGTAGCGATGGTGTCTTTTTTATGGCCACGGGTGGGCTAGCAGCTGTGAAAAGTAATATTCTAAAAGAGAGTTCGGCATACGAATCGGCTACGTATCGACCTCGGAATGCTACGAGTTTAGATGCTTATGAGCAAATCTTGGGTGTGGTGGCCCAGCAATTGGGATCCCAACCAGGAGAGATCTTGGCTGGTGCAGCTGAAGAAGTAGTGGCCATTCTAAAGAATGACACGTACCGAGATGATGAGAAATATCACGAAGTACGGAAACTACTAAAGAGCATATCAACCCATACTTTTAGTCAAGTGGTGACAGCAGGGAAGAAGATTACGGACTTTTACATGGAAAATGGAGAGAAGAAAAGAGACGAAGAGGGACAAGAATCGACGGTACTGGAGAGTGATGAAGAAGTGGACAAGGAAATGGGCGTGGCTGTAGTTTTTGATGAAGAAGATGAAGAGGAAGAGTCGGATTTGGATGAAGTGAGGGACGAAGAAGAAGATGAGGAAAAAGATATTGAAAAGGACAATGAGAAGGAAAAAAATGCTACTGCTGGACGGGAAGCAATGAAGATGAAGGATGGATACGATGATGAAGACGACGGAGATGCCAAGTATAGACTGGACGTGCATGCGATCGATGCATTTTGGCTCCAGCGTGAGCTGTCGAAGTTTTACAAGGATGCTGAGATCAGTGCCAAGCTTGCAGAAGAAGTGCTGAGTATATTAAAAAAAGTGGGAAGTGATCTCAGTGCTTGTGAAAACAAACTTGTGCTGCTGTTGGATTACGACAAGTTTGACTTTATCAAGCTATTATTGGAGAACCGAGCAAAGGTACTGTATTGTACAAGGCTGAAACAGGCTCAAAATGATGAAGAGCGACGCAGTATTGAAGAGGAGATGGTTGACGATGAGACACTAGATGACGGCGAAGGAAATGCTATATTGGACCAGCTACGCACGACGGCATCGGCCGACTCGTGGATGCAGGATCGTATCGGCGCTATGGAGACTACGTCCCGTGCAGAGGCCAACAAGCTGCGCAAATTGCAACAGAATTCTGGTGGGCAGCGCACGCTAGCGCGTGGCGAAGAGTCAGATGATGATGTTGACATGGAGAACGGCAGTAGCGACGCCGTCAAGGAAGAAGGTGGAGATCCTTTGAAGAAGAAGCCACAGCATTACGTAGATGTTGAGTCATTAGCGTTCCAGGAAGGTGGTCACTTGATGAGCAACCGTGAGTGTCGCCTACCGGAAGGCACGTGGCGTGCACAAAAGAAGGGATACGAAGAGGTCCACGTTCCTGCCGTTCGCACGAAGATGGCCGTGGCTGAAGAAAAAGCGCGGATCAAGATCTCGACGCTGCCAAAGTGGGCACAGGGCGCTTTTAATGGCATGGAGTCGTTGAACCGAGTGCAGTCAAAAATGTTTTCCGCGGCCTTTGAAACGAGTGAGAATTTGCTATTGTGTGCGCCCACAGGTGCAGGTAAGACGAATGTTGCAATGCTGACGATTTTGCATGAGGTCATGAAGGCTCAAGATCCCGAGACTGGCAAAATAGATCTAAATTCGTTCAAGATTGTGTACGTGGCTCCGATGAAGGCTCTCGTGCAAGAAGTTGTGCTTAATCTTTCCGCAAGATTATCGAGTGCTTACGATATTCAAGTGCGAGAGTTATCAGGCGATCAGAACTTATCCCGAGAGCAATTGTTTAACACACAAATCATTGTCACGACACCAGAAAAATGGGATATCATCACGCGAAAGTCTGGAGATGATCGCACGTACACTCAGCTTGTGCGTTTGGTAATCATTGATGAAATCCACTTGCTGCACGACACGCGTGGTCCAGTGTTGGAGGCTTTGGTTGCCCGTACGATCCGCAATGTGGAAGCAACACAACAGATGGTGCGACTAGTTGGCCTCTCCGCCACACTTCCAAACTATGAGGACGTAGCAGCGTTTCTTCGTGTCGATCCTGCGCAAGGGTTGTTCTACTTCGATTCCAGTTACCGCCCTGTGCCGCTTCAGCAGCAGTATATTGGTATTATGGAAAAGAAAGCAGTCAAGCGCTTTGCATTGATGAATGAAATATGCTACGAAAAGGTGATGGAGCAGGCAGAGTTGGACAATCAGGTCCTTATTTTTGTGCATTCGCGAAAGGAAACTGCCTCGACAGCAAAGGCGCTGCGGGACTTGTTTGTGGAGAATGATACACTTACCCGTTTAATTAAACCGAATTCTGCCTCTAGCGAGGTACTTTTACAGGAAGCCGAAAAGATTGAGCGCAATGATGATTTGAAGGATCTTCTTCCATACGGGTTTGGTATCCACCACGCTGGTATGAAGCGACAAGACCGTACATTAGTGGAAAACGCATTTGCTGACGGTCACTTAAAGGTGCTGGTCAGTACGTCGACGTTGGCGTGGGGAGTCAATCTGCCGGCTCATACGGTGATAATCAAAGGCACTCAGATCTACAATGCAGAAAAGGGCGACTGGTGTGAACTGAGTCCACTAGACATTTTGCAAATGTTGGGTCGTGCCGGTCGAGTGCAGTTCGACACACAAGGCGAGGGTATCATTATCACACAGCACTCACAATTGACCTACTACTTATCGTTGATGAACCAGCAACTCCCGGTGGAGTCACAACTCATGGGGAAGCTGGCTGATAATTTGAATGCTGAAATTGTAGTAGGTAGTGTGCAGAACGTGGCACAAGCTGCGACTTGGCTAGGTTATACATATTTATTTATCCGCATGCTGCGTAACCCGACATTATATGGCATCTCCGTGGCTGACCGCAAGGCAGACCCGACACTGCTGCAGTACCGCACAGACTTGGCGCATTCGGCCGCGACTCTATTGGTGAAGCACAACCTGATTAAGTACGAGCGGCGCTCGGGATTGTTCCAGGTGACTGCGCTCGGTCGTGTTGCTAGTCATTACTACATTGCTCACGACTCGATCAGCACGTACAACGAGTACTTGAAACCTCACATGTCGGACATTGAGATTTTGCGGCTGTTTTCTCTGTCAAACGAGTTCAAATATGTGATCGTTCGTTCAGAGGAGAAGCTGGAGCTGGTGAAGCTTTTGGAACGTGTGCCCGTTCCGGTGAAGGAGTCCTTGGTATCTTCAGCTCCTGGCAGTGTTACAGCTGGAAGTGGCTCTGCGAAGGTGAACGTGTTGCTGCAAGCTTACATTTCGCGACTGAGATTAGACGGGTTTGCACTTTTGGCAGACATGGCGCACATTCATCAATCTGCAGCACGTATTTTTCGAGCACTTTTCGAGATTTGCTTGACACGAGGCTGGGCGTCGCTGGCTGAGCGAATGCTTAGTTTCTGCAAGATGGTTGACAAGCGCATGTGGCTCTCACACTCGCCTCTTCGTCAGTTTGCCCCTGGATTGTCGGAGACCATTTTGAAGCGGATTGAGAAGAAAGACATATCGTGGGAGAAGTATAACGACCTGGAACCTGCTGATCTCGGTCAACTCATTAACAACCCACACTATGGCAAACAGCTTTACAAAATGATCCATCAGTTCCCAAAGCTTGAACTCTCGGCTCATGTGCAGCCAATTACTCGCTCTATGCTGAAGGTGGATTTAGTGGTGACGCCTGATTTCGAGTTCACAAGGGAAGTGCACGGGAATGCTGAGGGTTTTTGGGTGTTTGTAGAGGATGTGGATGGCGAGACGATCCTTCACCACGAATGGCTGCTGATCAAACGTCGCTTTGCCTCACAAGACACGTATCTTACTTTTACGATGCCGTTATTCGAGCCTTTTGCGCCACTGTACTATATTAAGGTCATTTCAGACAAGTGGATTCATTGCGAAAGCTCGTTGCCGGTGTCATTTCACAAGCTTATTCTGCCCCAGAAGAATGCTCCTCCAACTGAATTGCTGGACCTCCAACCACTTTTCGTTAATAACGTTCTTCTGAAGCTTGCAGGTGGCAAGAAAAAGACTGCAGAGTCTGTTTTTAAGTCTTTAACGAACGCCCGTCAAGTTCCAAACCCATGGCGGTTCAAGCGTTTTAATCCTATTCAAACGCAGGTTTTGCCTCGCTTGCTGGAGTCAGAGAGCAATCTCTTTATTGGGTCACCTCCGGGAAGTGGCAAGGGCGTTTTAGCGGAGCTTGCTGTTATGAAGACACTGTTTTCTCTCAACCAGCCTGATCAGAAGAGTGACGAGTTTGGCGAACACTTGATTGTGTATTTGACTCCAAAGGAGTCGAGTTGCCATGAAAAGTATGATGACTGGAATACCAAGTTTGGCGAGGAAAGCTTTTGGCGGCAAAACGTGGTGGAGCTCTCCGGTGACTCGACTGCAGACCTGCGATTACTTGCTAGCGCGAACATCCTAATTGCAACACCAATGCAGTGGGATGTGCTTTCCCGACGCTGGAAACAACGCAAACGCATCCAGAATGTAAGCTTGTTGCTGTTGGACGAGTCTCATTTTGTGGGTGGCGGCGAATACGGTCCTACGATTGAAGTTGTGATGTCGCGAATGCGATTTATTGCTGCTGACATGGATAAGAAAAAGAAAGCAGCCGGTGAGCGGGGTGGGCGAATGCGTATCTTGGCTATGAGTAACTCCATAGCAAATGCTCGTGATGTGGGTGAGTGGCTCGGCGCTAGTGCGTCGGAAGGCATTTATAACTTTCACCCCAATGTTCGCCCACAGCCGTTGGAGATTCGAGTACAGGGCTTCGAGATTAACGATTTTTCGTCTCGCATGCTAGCGATGGCCAAACCTCTGTACAATACTGTTGCAAATCAAGCGGAGAAGAAGCCTGTTGTAGTGTTTGTACCGTCAGCGAAGCAGGCACAGTTGAGTGCGATTGATTTGGTCACCTTTTCTCTGGCTGAAAACGACCCGCAGAAGTTTGTATCTCATTCACCAAAGGACAAAGTGAACTTGCCCCTGGAAGATGGTGCGTTGCTGCACACAATGGAAAACGGCGTGGGATATTGCACAAATCTAATGGCATCACGAAATCGGGAGTATGTGCTGAACCGGTTTGCAACTGGCAAAATCCAGGTGTTGATCGTCCCGCAGTCGATGGCGTGGGAGCTGCGAAGTGCTCAGATCAATGCGTTCATGGTTGTTATTATGGGCGTGCAGTTCTATGACGGTCGAGAACACCGTTATGTGGACTACCAGCTCGCTGACGTATTTCAGATGACTAAATTTGCCAACCACGCTGCTTCTCCTGCTGTAAAATGTGTACTTTTCTGTCATGCGTCTAAGAAAAAGTTCTACGCCAAATTCCTATACGATCCCCTTCCCGCGGAATCGCAACTGGAGCACTTTCTGAGTGACCACATCAACGCTGAGATCGTGACGAAGACAATTGAGAGCAAACAGGACGCGGTGGACTACCTCACGTGGACCTTTATGTATCGTCGGTTCATGAAGAATCCTAACTACTACAATTTACATGGCTCTACCAATGTCCACCTGTCAGATCACTTATCGGAACTTGTGGAAACCACAGTCAATGCACTCGAGGAGTCCCGCTGCATCCAAATTGTAGAGGAAGAGGAGGGTGAAGAAAACGAGGGTGAGGAACATCTTGTACCCCTTAACCTCGGTATGATTGCAGCATACTACTACATCAAGTATACGACGATCGAGCTGTTTGCATGCAGCCTGAAAGCAGATTCGAAGGTGCGCGCGCTTTTGACTATTCTGTCATCTGCAACGGAGTTTAGTGACCTGCCAAGCCGGTATGGCGAAGACAAGAAACTGGAGGGTCTCGCTAAGCACCTTAATTTTCCCGTGGCAGCCGGAGGGGATTACGGACAGGCCCATGTGAAAGCGAACGTGCTATTGCAGGCTCACTTCAGCAAGCAACACGACCGTCTAAGTCCAGCGTTGCGCCAGGATCTGGACTTTATTCTGCGCCACGCTGTGCGTCTCCTGCACGCGATGGTGGACGTTATCAGTTCCAACGGATGGCTCAAGCCTGCGCTAGCGGCCATGGACCTTGCGCAGATGGTTGTGCAGGCACAATGGAGTCATGATTCACCATTACTTCAGATTCCATTCTTCACTCGGGATATGCTGAAGAAACTGGGAGAGATGGAACTGGAAGAGGAGGTGGAGACACCCGTGGATATTCTGAGTATGGACGATGATGCTCGCAGCAAGCTTTTGCCTCTAGACACACAAAAGATGTCGGCAGTTGCCAAGTTCTGTAATGCTTACCCGGATGTGACAGTGCAGACGACGATCCAGCAGGATGGCAAAAATCTGCCGCAGAGCTCTACCGTTAGCGTAAAGGTGCAGCTCGAGCGTGAAGGTGCTGACGAGGACGATGAAGAAGTGGACGAGTCAAGGGGGCTAGGCCTCGTGAATGCGTGCCACTACCCTGCAAAGAAAGCCGAGAACTGGTGGGTGGTGCTGGGTGATTCGAAGAAGAATACACTAGTGAGCATTAAGCGAGTGCCTTTTGCAAGTGCGCAAGCCAACGTGGCGTTGCAGTTTACTGCTCCGGACGAAATTGGTGATCACACCTTCCAGCTTTACGTGATCTGCGATGGCTACGCCGGCTGTGACCTTGAGAATGAGGTCAAGATTACAGTTGTCGAGGGCGAGAACACAGATGAAGAAGAAGAGGACGAAGACGAGGAATAGTCATGGCGCGTCGAACACACGTGAAGGAATGGCGATCAAACCAGTAATCATTCATACTTAACACTTGCCACTCTAAGCTTCATAGGTTTCTATCGTGCCGCAGTGATCAGATGCAGTAGGATCCTCTTCTTCTGTCTCACTGGCTGCCTTTTGTGTAGGTA